TCTGGAGCGTGTGCTTGCTTATCTGGACGATGTCATCTGTTTCGATGAGGAACCTCTGGGACACGTCCTGAACTTGATCGAGTTCTTCTAACGACTGGGACAGTACAACCTCAAACTGTCTCCAGGGAAGGCTCGCGTCGGCGCCACGCACGCCAACTTTCTCCGTCACAACATCTCTCCGGCAGGTGCTATCCCTGATGGCGTTAAGTCTAGGGCGCTCACGCACATGCCGTCGCCGACGAATGTTAGGCAGCTTCGGAGCCGTCTCGGTGGACTCAGCTACTACCGGAAATTTCTCAAGAATCTCGCCACCAAGGTGCGGCCTCTCAACTCTCTACTCAAACAAGGCGTCCCCTTCAAGTACACCCCGGGCATGGTCAAGGTTGTCAAAACGTTGTTAAGCGAACTCGCTCGCCACCCGATTTTGGTTTTCCCGGCTTGGGCAGCAATCGAGGACAACAGCCGTCCTCTTCGTTTGTCTTCGTTTGTGTTCCGACGCGTGTATCGACGGTCCGCGCTACTCTTCCTGCGGAGCGTAACTGAACCGTTTTGGATCTGGAGGCTGGTGGCGTTGTTTGGGCCATCAAACGCCTTCGGGGTTATCGGTGGTCGACCAAGTTCATCATCTATTCGGACCACAAAGCCTTGGAGAGCATTGGCAAGGTTGGGGAACACAACGCTAGGGTGCAACGATGGCTCGAATTCCTGTCCAACTTCACCTACACCCTGAAATATCGGAAAGGTTCGGCAAACGGCAACGCGGATTATCTTTCGCGGTTGCCTTTACCAGCACAAGACACGGACAAAACCGGCCCCGACTGCATTGATGGTGTCGATCAAGCGGGTGTTTTCCTCATTCGGGCTTGCGGGCGCAACAATCACTCGTCGTCTACATCGGAGGTCGGTTTGGATGGGCTCCGCCCTCCTTGCACGGCGAGAATCTTTTCGCCCCCAGCGTTGCAGCCCTCCGATTTTGGGGATTTTCGCCGACATCACCCGCGTCGGTTGGATACTTTGACGGACTCAACGATTGCCTGCGAGAGTTCTCGGTGGTCACCGGGGGTCTTCATTTTCTCGCCTGTTCTCGCATCGTGAGGGCCTGCTTCCCCATTGACGTCTGATGCGTCCCGCGTGATGTCTCCTGCCTGGTCTTTGGCGACTAGATATGTGCACTTTTTGCCTTCGCTTCCGGAGCAGGGACTGCTCATATCTTCACGGACTCGGGCCAAAACCACCGCTGTTTGCGGAGGCACCGTCACCGGGCCCGCTTATTTTGGACGCCAGCCGCGGGCTACCACCGTCCCTCGGACATCGTCGCCTGCCCGTCGCTCTAGCAGGTCCTATTCGATAAAGGCTGACCATTTGACTACGTGCACAGTCATCGGATGACTTTGCACGTAGTCAAATGGTCAGCCTTTATCGCACTCTCGGCTCGTAGCCAATCCCAGTGGATCTGATAGGGTGTAGTGATGCTGCCCCAGTCGCTGAGGCTTCGCCTTCTTCAGCCTCTTCCGTTGGATCGCCTGATATTTTTCGGACTCTTCTGATTTGGACACCTCCCACTTGCGGGCTTGTGTTCAGAGTTTCAGCACTGTGGACTGGGCTAGGGAACAACAGCGGGAGAGCGAGTGCGTGGTGGCTATGCGTTTCTTGTCTCGCGGTTCTCCCTCCCCACCCCCTCCGGACTTGCTCGCTCTCTGTGCTCCTCTTCGCTCCCCTCGGTTTGATGATGTGCTTGTGTTGGCGGCGAAAACCAGACTGCACACGACCGACGACAACATCACCCTCCTCGTACATAAATCGGCGACGTCGCCGGTTGGGCGCTCTGGCGGCAGGACCACTCGTCTGCCGGATACTGGCGTGCCCCGTGTCTACGTGCCAATGCTGATGCGTCCGTGAGTCCTTCATGGGTGCCATACCGCCGCGTCATTCCACCTCGGCGTCCATCGTACACAGCGTCTGCTCGAGCGCTTCTACTGGTGGATTGGTTTGGATCGTTCCGTGCGCTGGTGGCTTCGGGCGTGTTTGGTGTGTCAAGCTCGCAAGACTTCACGTCAGACTGCTCGGTGGCCCGTCATTGCTATGCCATTGCCGCAGGGGCCTGGTACGGTCGTCGGCGTCGACTTCTTCGGACCTCTGTCAGTGACTGCCAAGGGCAACTCCTACACTTTGTAGTTCACAACCGTTTCAGTCGGAGAGCCGACATGTTCGCAGTTACAGCGGCGGAATTTACGGCGAGAGGGACGGCTCACATCTTCGTCAACCAATACATGACCAAGTGGGGATGTCCGACTATCTACGAGGTGATGAAAATCAAGAAGGTCACCACCAGCTCCTACCACCCACAGACCAACGGCGGCACGGAACGCGTCAACCACACGATGGCCCAGATGCTTGCGGTGGTAAATCAACGAACAGCAAAACGATTGGGACATATATCTCCCGCACGTTGAGTTTGCCTACAACAATTCCGTGAAGCAGTCTACTGGATTAGCGCCAAACGAGATCCACATCGGACGCATCCCGCGACTCCCGCTTTCGGTCTTCGATCATCCCACGGTAGGTGGCCATCAAAGCTTGGCCCGCGATCAATTCGAGTATTGCAACCTGGCTGTGGATCGCCAGCGCCGGGCCTACGAACTTGTGAGTGAGTACAACGCCCTGAAGATTTCGCGAGTCGAACGTCGCAATTCATCCCTGCTGGACGCCATTCACAAGCTCCCTCAGTTCACCGTTGGCGGGTGGGTTTAGGTGTACAACACGGCTGCTACAATTCGACATGGTGTGCAGAAGGACACGGACCAACAGGTGCTCAAGGCCAAATTCGCACNGCCATCAAAGCTTGGCCCGCGATCAATTCGAGTATTGCAACCTGGCTGTGGATCGCCAGCGCCGGGCCTACGAACTTGTGAGTGAGTACAACGCCCTGAAGATTTCGCGAGTCGAACGTCGCAATTCATCCCTGCTGGACGCCATTCACAAGCTCCCTCAGTTCACCGTTGGCGGGTGGGTTTAGGTGTACAACACGGCTGCTACAATTCGACATGGTGTGCAGAAGGACACGGACCAACAGGTGCTCAAGGCCAAATTCGCACTTTCCTGGACGGGACCCTACAAAGTTCTTGCGGTGGATCCTACCTCTGCCGACGCCACTCCGGACGGCCGCCCGTTGGCGCGTAAACTCCTATACCTAGACCTGCCTTCCGATCTTTCCGGCCCGGCAGCTCGTAGTCATGTGTTTGTCCTTCGTTGCAAGCCCTGTCGCAATCCGTACGAGACGGACGACTTGCCTCGCGTTATGTTCTGCACTCTTTCGGAGATAAATGTCCACCTTTCTTTCCACGTCGCCGCGGATGATGTGTCGGTGCCTATCGGGCGCCTCGAGGTCGACTTCATCTGGGGACATCAACTGGTGCGGGGTCGTAGCGGCGTTCTCGCTGTCCTGTACNACGCCACTCCGGACGGCCGCCCGTTGGCGCGTAAACTCCTATACCTAGACCTGCCTTCCGATCTTTCCGGCCCGGCAGCTCGTAGTCATGTGTTTGTCCTTCGTTGCAAGCCCTGTCGCAATCCGTACGAGACGGACGACTTGCCTCGCGTTATGTTCTGCACTCTTTCGGAGATAAATGTCCACCTTTCTTTCCACGTCGCCGCGGATGATGTGTCGGTGCCTATCGGGCGCCTCGAGGTCGACTTCATCTGGGGACATCAACTGGTGCGGGGTCGTAGCGGCGTTCTCGCTGTCCTGTACCAGACGCATTGGGTAGGCCTGACTACTCTGACCTTGATCAATTCCGTCAACATATTCTCTTGTAATGGTCCCGGGAGGCTTGCCAAAGCAAGCAGGGTAATCGTACATATCGAGTGGCTCGCACTCGCGCGGCACAGCGGGAGCTAGCCGGAATCGTGGAGAACGCTATTTGCCTCCTGGGGCTGATCTTGTGCTTAACGCGACTTGGCTTCGTCGTTTGAGCACTTCGCCCCTCCCTGTTGGCGCGCGGCTGTGGTACAAGGCCCGTGATGGATTGTGGTGGACCGGACCTATTGGTGCTCATCATGGCGGCTCGTACATCGTTCGATTTGGATGACCCGGGCCCAAGTGTTCTCCCTCTACCTGCGCATCTCTACTCCACCGCCTTGGACGCCGTCTGTGGATCATGGTATTTAGAGAAACATCGTTCGCGCCCTCTTGTCGACAACCGTGGTCGCACTCCGCTCCTTGCTGACTCCTTACCGTCGGCTGTTCCCACTATTTCTTCTCAGCGTCGTCGTTTTCATATACCAATCGGCCTATTTTGGTCTTTTGTGCCATCCTTCTCGCCGACGTTTTGCTTTTGTATTCTTTTTCTGTCACCTTCCACTTTGTTTTCTTTTGTTTTGTTTTGTTTTTCTGTCTTATCTATTTTCTTTCGTTGGCTTATTTTTTGTTTTGGACGCTGGGGCAACGCCGCCTCAAGACACGCAGTGTCGAGTGATACTTCTTCCTTGTTGCCGGCGTTCATCTGAATAAGTGAACTGCCACGACCTGGATGTCCGTCCTCTCTTGCCTTTGCATAATTTTTTTTGCTGTTGTTGGTCTTTGGTTCTCTCGACAAGCTCCCTCCGAAGTTTCGTCGGTGTTGTCTGCCTCTGAACACTTGGAAAAAGAGTTCTCCAAGTTTCGTCGGTGATGTTTGCCTCGGGACACTTGGACTCCGAGTTCCCCGCGTTTTCCTGGTTCGCCTGTTTGCCAAAACTAATGTTGGCTTGATTGTCTTTTGTTTTAGTTCCATCGTGGCGCAGATTTGTCGCATACGCTTGGTGCTTCGGGATTCCATCCCGTGGCGTCGCCTTCTCACATGGATTATCGTCGTCAATCACACTTCGTTCTGCTTCGTCTCCATCATCGCCACCTTCGGGCGACGCCTCCATCACAGTAGCGCCCCCGAGTCGTCGTCTTGTTGAGTGAATCTCTACGACTTTTCTGTGTTTTTATGTCATTGAATGATGCGTATCGCCAGCGAGCCATGGCGCAGTTCTTCGACCGCCTCTCTTGCCTTAGTCACTGGTGCTTTGCATCCTTGGCCCCCATTAGGTATTGCCCCTGCCGTCTCCTTATTATACGAGTTGGGTAACCTGGCACGCTGGCAATCGTTCTCGGTGCCTTTGCCTGTCGTTCTTTTCTCCTGCCCTTCGTTATCGCCCTAGATTGCGTTAAGTTTTCCCTTTGCGTCGCGTCTAGTATCAAAGACCGTATTCGTTCCGAAATTATTTGTTTGGGTTTTGAGTTTCGTCACCGTATTTTGGACTCTCTGGGGTAGTCACCCTCATTCCTCCAACGGTGATACGCACGGGGGGGGGGGGGGGGGG